AGTCCAGCGATATATCAGATTCTTACACTGACCATGTGTAGGGACCATAGCCATGTAAAGTAAAGTTGTTCTGCATGTAATGCTTTCTGTTTTCTCTCAGACTCCCTGTGTGTAGATAAGCTGTATGCCAACCTACCTGGGACCAGTGTCCCTTTAAATGTCTACTCATCGTGGGGGGGTGTGAACTGCCATGTGAAGCTCACGTCAGTGCCTGGCTCTCTGATCCGTCTGACCGTGACCTCGTTTCTTATTGAACCCACTGACTGTGTGTTCGACGCCCTGACTGTGTACGATGCTCTGCTGCCCATGAGGGGGCGCATTCTGCACAGGTGAGACTACAGCAAAAAAGCCCACTCTGACTATCTTACATCCTTTCAGGGATCAAAATACTCTATGCCATATGTGTTCATGGGAATATTATTGTTTTTTCATGATTTAGCATATTTACCAATAAAGATGTCTATCTAGTTTCATTTCACCCCATTTATATTTTCTGGTCTATCATATAAATCATGTGCATATTCTACTTCTACATATCTATAATAAAATAATTTTTTTATGGTTTTCATTAGAGATTCAATTAAATTCAATTATATTATACTTTTATTAAGCCCCTAAGGGAAACTCAGTTTTGGTACAGCCCGGCCAACAAGACAAAAACATACAGAAAGACAATACGCAGACATTATAATGATTAATATTAACAATTTAACTTTATTGATCTCGTATTGGAAAACTGTACCTGGGTAAAATATACCCAGAGTGCAGGATGTGGGGATCAATCCAGGAACTTCAAACCTCCTGAGAGCACAAGCGCACTGTTCTAACCACTAGGCCAACACTCCCCCCCACATATACATGAGCATTAATGACGTACATTATAGATGATCAGGCTCAGGCTTCCCTGTGAGGCTATGATCTATTTTAAACCATTTCAAACCAAACCCAAACCCTCAGTTATAAAGTTATATTTTGCATATTCAGACATGTGTTTGTGCTGCAGGCTGTGTGAACCGGTGTCCAGTTCCTTCTCCATCGTCTCTACCTCTAACGTCATGCTGCTGTCGTTCAGGATGACCAGTGGTAACAAGAGCTTTAAAGGACACTTTGAAGCCATTGCTGAGGAGAGTAAGTCACCTTATACTGTTATTTAAAAAATAACAGGAATGCTTGCTTTTCTAAGTTGCACAATTTGCAAACAAAATCATTTTAGAGAGAGTTTATGGGGACATTTCAGGACCCTGGAGAGCACAGACTTGTTGAAGGGCAAGGGCAGAAAAAAATAGGGCACATATAGCACCTTCTCTGTAGATCATTTTGCAGATGGAATAACACAATTTACGTTAAGAATAAGATAAGCATCCGCAGTCTCTCATTTTGAGTGCATAATATCTAATTATCTTATTTTAAGGATACAAATATTCATTCCAATCAGCAGATCATCTCATTTTCCCGTTTTAATTAACTCTAAATGGACTAAGTTTGAGAAATGTTTGCTCATTTTAGGTTGTTTTTGCAGTTTAGTATTCTTTTTTTGCTTCCAAAATGGCACTTTAGCATGTCTTTGGCTCCAGAGTGGGAACTTAGCATGTATATGGCTCCCGAGAGGTCACTTAGCACACACTTCCTGTGCATGCCAATGTTTCAGGATGTTTAAAGTGAGGTTCTGTTGAAAGTTAAAAATAGTACATGTTTTTTTTCTGGCAGCTGACAGGAGCCAAAACCTCTATCTTCATGTAATAACACCTGCTTCATGACTGTCATAGCAGTTTAAGCTTTTGTTATATTTATTTAAACAGGAGCCCATGAATAAACATTGTTGCATTAATAGTATTTCTTGGTATGGAAGTAAAGAAATGAAAAAGCCAAAATGTTATATTAGTCTAAGAGTGCATGATTTTTACATAAAATCTCTAGAAAGCTAGCTGCCAGTGTGAAATGGAAGCCTGCTTCAAATTTATGTTATTTCAAACAATATGAGCTGAAAATGTTTGCATTAATGATGTAAAATTCTTCTTTTGATATGTTAACTGTCTAAACCTTCGCAGGATGACATGAATAACATCATCACTGATTTTTTTTTTCTTTTCATTTTTTAAATTTGTCTAGAACTTTTTCAAACATATATGAGGATGAAGAAATTAGATTTTTCTTCATTTCTGTAAAATGGTTTCTTTGTGAAAAGATTATTTTAGTCTCAGATGAATACTTTGGCTTTATATAATAGACTTTCTAATGTCTCTTTCAGTTTGTTTGTCTCACATTGAGACCAAATTAGAACCTGACATCAGTGGTGAAATCTACAGTCCCTTCTACCCGAGCCTGCTGCCCCCCCAGTGTTCCTGTAGCTGGAAGTTTAAGGTAGATATCCTCATGTATTGGTATGAATACCTAATATTTTTAAATAACTAATTGTTTTTCTCTTTTCTGCAGACCCCAAACTCCAATTTAGGCATTGCATTGCATTTCCAGAACTATGTTTTGAAACAGAAGGACATGAAAAGCTGTGATAGTGGCTGGTGGAGGGTCAACGAAGTCATGTATGAGGCCCCGGCTGCATCACAGAGAACTTTTGGCCATCTTAAACTTGTTTGATGGTTTTCTGGAATCCTGGTTCTCCTTCCACAGCTTCTGTGGCATGTACGTAGGACACCACACAGTGTTTCGCATCCCCGACCCCAGTCCAGAGATGGAGTTTCGCTGCAGCTCCCGTAACTCTGCTCAGCCCTTTAAGGCTTCTTACCTCAGCTATAACATCAGCCAGCGTAAGCACTGCCTTGCACAAGTCTAATTCTTTTCCTAATTCCCAACCAAATACGTGCATATACCTATGTGTCTTCCAGCTTGTCCAGAGGACCAGTTCTTGTGTAACACAGGGCTCTGTGTGGAGAAGAGTCGACTTTGTGACGGCCTGGATGACTGCCAGGATGAGAGTGATGAGGTTTTCTGCAGTAAGTCATTTACTGGTTAGAGGGAGTTATATGGGCATTTTCTACCAATAAGGAGTAGTTTTATAGTTTTATACTGCATTATAATATGCTACAAAACGCTTCTTTTCTCAATTGATTTTGCTCTAATTAACCATCATAGCAAATCCCAAAGCAACCTGCAGCCCTAATAGCCCTCCACACCCTTTGTTTGTGTGTAATGGGGAACTGGATTGCAAAGATGGAGTAGATGAGATCAACTGCACTCAAGGTAAGGGGATTCTCCAAGGATTGTTTTTTAGGTTAGCAACCTTGCATTTATATGTGTTGAAGCCCTTTGACTTTAAAGACTGTAACATTTCAGAAACCAGCTGCTCTGCGATCAGGTACAAGTGCAGGAGTGGATCCTGCATCCTGAAGAAAAATGCAAAGTGTGACTATGTGCCTGACTGTCGGGACAAAAGCGATGAGGAGGACTGTGGTAAGAATGATCATTATAATTATACATGCAGTGGATTAAAGCATTAAACTTATTAATGCTTTTTTTTATGGCATCATGGGCATAGCAAATTGCAAAAGCATTTCCCTATTTTGCTCCACACAACCACAAACTTTAATCTATTTCAGATATTTTTTTATGTTACAGTATGTGACAGACCTGCACATAGTAGCTCATAATTAGAAAGTGGAAATGAAAAGGACGGAGGATATTTTTTTAACAAAAAAATTCTGAAAACAGTGGATTGTTCATGTATCCAATCCCACTGATATCCCTAAAGCAATACCCCAAGCTCTAAAATATTATACATCCATTATATAAAATAGAATTATTATGGTTAGTGTATCTCAATTCAAGACAAGGCCCACCATCAAAGTTTACAGAGCAAGAAATGGGGAAATTAATCAGAAAAGCCACCTGGCCCCTTGCTGCTGTGAAGAAGAGATTTCTGTCGCTATGGTGAAAAAAATGTGCCAGAGCCATGAAGGTGATGAAGCAAACATGAAGAAAAAAAGACCAAATTCATTTACACAAAAGAAACAAACTAAACACAACCAATAATGTGTATAATTCTGAACACATTAATGCTGAGAGGGATGAAGGCGGTGTCACATAGGGATGCTGGGCTGATGTGTTTTTGAATCATGGGTGTGAAAATTCAAAAAAACATGTATATTTATTATCTACAGTCCAATTCTTTGTTCTGCAAAAAAAAAAAGAAATCTAAATGTGGAAAGAATATGAAAAACTACAGAAAGATCAAACCAGTACAAATATTTTTCCAAGGATTTGTTTTCGCTCTCATAATTTTGCTCCAAAAAGTTAAAGCATTGCAACAAAATATGATGTCACATATTGGCTGACGTATATTGTATGTACATTTACTCATAAACCTGTGGAAAATAAAATGTAAACCCATCTGTTCCCCTCAGCCTGCGGCTATCCCTTCAATAAAAAGGTGAGCTCACAGATGGCCCTTGATCGCATCGTGGGCGGAGTTAACTCGGTGGAGGGGGAGTGGCCTTGGCAGGTCAGCCTTCACTTCGCTGGTAGTTTGTACTGTGGCGCCTCTGTCCTCTCCTCTGACTGGCTTATCTCAGCTGCCCACTGCTTCAGTAAAGAAAGGTCAGCCCCACTGATGTCTGAAGAGATGACACCCTTTTATATTTCAGAGTCCACTCATGGGTCTCTGCATACACATTTTATCAGGTAACTCATCAAAGCCTGTAAAATGACCCTTGCCTTGTGCACCTGCAGGCTCTCTGACCCTCGTTACTGGAGAGCCCACCTCGGCATGCTGACACAGGGCAGTGCCAAACATGTTGCGGAGATCCAGAGGATCGTGATGCATGAGTACTATAATGCATACACTTTCGACTATGACATTGCCCTTCTGCAGCTAAAGAAGCCCTGGCCTCCGTCCCTTGGGCCGCTGGTTCAGCCTGTGTGTCTCCCCCCCTCCTCCCACACAGTCACAGACACACACCGCTGCTTGGTGACTGGGTGGGGATACCGATCTGAAGAAGGTTGGTAACATCACTTTAATAAAACAAAACTATACCCATAGTGATCTGAGCTAATTTCATTTGAGCAGCATTTTACACAAAATGCTTTTGTGATATGATAATTATAGAAATATTTCTTGCGTTTTTGATGTAATTTACTCAAATAACTGTGTATGTGGAAAAAATATTTTTAAAATAGCTAACTGAAGTAACAGTTTGCAGAAGGAGAAATGTTTCGAATGTGATGAAAAATCCCTTCTGTCCTCCCTCTCTGGTTGCTTTACCTGGTTAAACTTCTCTGTGTTCGACTGTTTTGTGTGCAGATGTGGCCAAGAGTATTGAGACTGGCAGAATGTTTGTTTTTCACAACACAGCATCAATGTGGTTGGACGTTTTATCAGTCAAAGGTTTATGTTGTTTCGAAAATACATTGTTTGAGAAATACACCAAAATGACCTGGAAAGTCCATCCATCTTCTCCTGCTTGTTCCGTCTATTGTGGGGCCGGTGCATTTCCGGAGCGAGCGGCGGGGTACACCTTGGACAGGTCATCAGTCTGTTAGAGGGCAACACAGACACACACGAAAAGAACCCACACATATACGGGGAGAACATGCTACCTCCATGCAGAAAGACCATATGCTGGAAATCAATCCCAGAATCCTCTTGCTGCAAGGCAACAGTGCTATAAACTGCAACACAGTGCATCCGATCTGAAAAGTTTCCTCACCATTAATAAAAAATATTAACATTTAGATTCTGATTCAAATAATAAGCATGTTCGCCTTGTAACATCATGCTGCTAGAAGACTGTCTAGAAGCATGATGGATTTATTGTAGCTTTAATCATTTCTTTTCCATATTCTTAAGAAACATTCTGAATTGGGTTAAATTAGAGAAAGTAGCTCCATCCAGGTTCTCTGCTGTGTAATCATGGTGCTTCCTCTATATTGTCAGTATGCCCAGGATGTTTTTTTTTTTTTCTTGCAGAGAAGTGGCATCCTTGCAGCCATTTTCAACACTTCCTCTCACTGTTAGAAAAACAGCAACAACACACCCGCTTTCTGCCAATTCTGATTAGCCTCTTTTCTGGTGGCTACCCAAACTCTTATTAAATCCTCTTTTCTTTTGGTTTTTATTTTAAATGTTCATATAAGGAAGTGGCAATTGACAAAATAGATTAGATGTGAAAGCACGTCTTCTTTTCAAAGCAACTAGTCCTCTCTCCTAGCTAACTAAATCTAGTTGGGCTAAAACACATTTTAAATGTTTGCATTTGACTATATTGCTTCATATCAATTTTTGATGTCAGAAATAACGCCATAAGTAGAATTCAAGCTGTCTTTACAAATAAACTGTCAGTTTAAAAATGATTTGGTCACCCTATTAACAGTGAGGATCAAACTACACATCTAATCCCTCTCTTTGGTTCAGATAAGGTGCTGCCCTCTGTGCTCCAAAAAGCAGAAGTGTCCATAATGAGTCAGACTGAGTGCAAGAAGATCTACGGACTCATCTCTCCTCGCATGCTGTGTGCCGGCGTCCCATCGGGGGAGAGGGATGCCTGTAGGGTGAGGTGTCCTTTCATCACCTTATTTATTACATCACATCAAACTTTATCATGTAGAGCTTTTGTTTTGTTTCTCAGGGGGATTCAGGAGGTCCTTTGTCCTGTCAAGCTTCAGAAGATGGTCGCTGGTTCCTCATAGGGATTGTGAGCTGGGGGTCTGGCTGTGGCAGGCCGAACCTGCCGGGGGTTTACACCAGGGTCACCAAGTTCACCTCCTGGATCTACAGCCATATCAGCTGATATGATAAAACCCATGTATAGATCTTGTTCATTAAAAAAAGTTTAAATAACACTTTGTCTACTACGGTGTCTTCTGTCCTTGTATTCCTAGTATCAATGAAAAAAAGTTCTATGTGAATTTTCACCCTGTGCAGGATCCATGGGCTCCACTTGTAATATCTCACACACGTCCTCCTAAAACACTCTTTTGTCCCTCTGATCTGAGACCTCTGCATACACTGGGAGCAAGTTTGCCCACAATATCTGTCCAACGGATGGTTGCTCGGATTGTACCCTTTCATAGTGGCCTCATTGTCCCCCGCATTGCATTCTGGGGCTCCGTGTGACACCTGCCGCCCTGTTCAGGTAAACGGGAGGCGGTGAATGCCCCTGCGTGTCCTCAGCTCAGATTTCTCCCCCTTTTTTTATTCCTTTTTTTTTTTTGGTCAGAGGAAGCAACAGTGGGGATTTTCTCTTTCCCTCCCTCTCTCCATCGTTTCTATGTCTGAGATATTGTTGCGAGTCACCTCTCCGGAGCTAAACTGGACAGTGCTATGTGGACTCGGCCCAAAAGCAAAATTTGTGAGGTGTACTGTGTTTCTGCACACGGACACTCTGGCTGTCCAGCTTTACAGGTAAGCCATCACTGAGGAGCTTTATCTGTAGGTAAAACACTTTGTTCTCAGTCTGTCTTTCTTCCATCTCACTCTGCCACTGACCTGCTGTCTTTTATTTAACCTTTGGCGTGTTATTCATTTTAGAGTAATCATATTTATAATCCATCAAGCTATTTGAACCTCATTTAATTGTAAAATCCACAGGGGTCTGTGCCTGTGACACTGAGTGCTGACTTTGCAGGCCGTGGGAAAGCGCAACCATTCGGGCATACTTTCTTTCCCACAGAGAACAGAACCAATTTCTTAAATGTTATAGGAAATCATTTGAGCTTTAAGGTCTGCATCATTGCTACCAGTAAATTACACCCTGACCAGCTGTAAAAATAGAGTCCTCATTGATTTTAAGGTTAGCTTTTATCCACTGCTCTCCTGTTCTACTCAGATGTCAATAAGAATCATCTTTAGAGTATGTATGGCAAATGTTTTTTTAATTCATTTTTGAGTTGGTAATTGAATCAAGATTTTACATATATTTTTCTACAGATTCCTAGCACAAAAATTAAGACAGAAAAAACATGAATTTTGTCAAATAAATCAAAAAGCAAAAAGAGTTTTAACAGGCGTATACAGTTTAATCATTAGCAAAAGTGTTGACTTTCTTTATATTTAGCTAATATTAAAGCATATTACAGCAGTGATGTTTAAGGCAACTTAAATTTTCCTCTTTTTTTTTCTTCTGCCAATATCACGACCCTTGCACAGTTTTTAGAACTAGGTAATTAAACCCATATACTCTTTAAAGATCAGATATAAATGCAGGACGCCAAAATTAGCTTTGTGAATAAAGCTCTGTTGTTGTTTTTTTCCTTTTGCATAAATCAAACATGTTGATAAATAAACAAGAGCGATCCCAGAACAGACCTCTAGGGCACACCTTTGAAAACAGGAAGGAGATGCAGGCAGATTCTGCATGCAGTCCTTCTGTTGCCGAAATAGGTTTCGAATCACATCATGACCAATTAATCTTTATAAAACAGAATATGGGGGACTTGACAGGGGGAAGACATTTTCAGAACCATGAAGCCAAATTTATTTATATAAAGTAAAAAAAAACAGCTGAATTAAGCGTCACTCCTGCTGTGCTTGCCGTTTGCAGAAAGCTTTTAATTCCATTAACTTTTATATCTATGAGTACAAACAATTAAGTAAATAAATCTTAAACGTAATCCAGAACTAAGGATGTTAGAGCACAGAACATAAAGTCGAACCTGTGATAACAATCTTGGTTGTTTGGTTCACATAAATTGTCTATCAAACTGCTGGCCACCCACTGTAACCTGTGAAATATCTACTGATCATGTTGATTGTCCGTCAATATGTCATAGTTGGATGCCTCTTCTCAGCTTAGTAATAATGTAGATACGAGTATATAATACACCTTATTGGGAAACAATAAAACACATGTCATAGAACCACCTCTCTCACCGTTAAGGATGTGAAGGAAGCTAGAGGACAAATTTTCAGTGTGCAAACAAATCTGTAGGATGGTTCTGTTATGACATTGAAGTATTAACCAGTTTCAGGCCCAAGTTACAATATATGGGGTCAAATGTTTTTGAGAGGTAAATTAACAGAACAGCTGTGCTTGTGTGTTGTCTGTACTGTCCTACTTGCTTTAAGTGTTTCCTTTCAGCAATAAATCTGATTTAATGGGTGATTAAGAGGTTTCTGAAGGACATACCAGCAGAAACTTCTACAGCTTAAAGGGGCAGGGCTGAGAAACATTGTTTGAAACCCTTATTGACATTATTAATTACTTTTATGGATGGTGTACTGATTCTTTATCCTTTTATAAAACCAGACTTAACGTTTATTTGGATTTTATTTGAATCACATAATTTTCCATTTAAGAGAGATGGAGAGTTAAAGCAGTCCATCGGCTCACTCGGCCCCTCTGCGACAAAGTGTGAAGGTCTGGTGGATCAAAAAAGAGAGAGGCAGAGAGCGCCATTGTGTTGTTCTTGGAGAAGACTCATCTTAGGTCTCCTTCCTTTAGTTCCTTTCACTGCTGCAATAACATTGGCTCTCAACTATTTAACAGGTGAGTGCAAATTTTGATGTTTCATCAAACCCCTCCCTGCTGTGCAAACCATTTCTTTATTATTCCAATCCATAACGGTCTAAACATCTTCATCTCTCCCTTCTCTCAAGCTCCACCTTGTTCACTGTTCTTCCTCGGTGGCAGTGTGGAGTTCCCAAACCTGAGCTTCTCTTTAGAGCTGACCGACCCCGGCTCCCCTCAGTTCCGCCTGCAGGCTCAGGCTTTGGACCCTTATGTAGGTGGAGATGTTCAGCTCTTCTGTCCCTGCATCAGCTCTGAATGACATGGTTTATCTTTGCTTCATTCCAACACACCACAAGTGTTTCAATATATGCCACTTTAAAAACACTGCTGCTCTCTTCCTCTCCTCCATCTTCAAATAGTGTGTCTCCTCCTTATCTCTGTCCTCCCATATCTGTTTTTGTGCTCTTCTCTCCTCTGCCTCATTCTGTCTCTTTCTGGTGTTAAATGTAAAGCTGAAACAGGAGCTGTGCATAATGTGTGTGAGTCAACGGCACCCCCAGGGACCGGGTCCTTTCAGGGGTTGAGGACAAGCTGGGCATTTGTGAGGCCCGCCAGGCCTGGGCAGTGAGAGTGAGAGGAAGAGCAGCCCTTCAATAAAAACATTGTCTGTGGAGCTTTCACACAATTGGCCACTATGTATGCAGCACACTACATGGAGCGGATGAACCAGGCAGGGCAGTAGGGCAAAAGAAACATCCGGGGAGCAGGGGTTGATTTTTGGAGCAAAAGGTCAGATTGATAAAAGGGAATTCCCAAACACTGAATCAGCCTAGTCTGGGATTCCTGTGACCTCCTTTAATAGGAGGCAATGTCACAAACATTGTGTACAGTATATCTAGCATTTATTGAAGAGTTAACCCCTGTTATGGTTCCATACAAAAAAATGAAAAGGGAGAAATCTAATCCATTATCTGCCATCCTAGAAAAAGAAAAGAAAAACAAGACCAATTTGAGATCTAATTAGCTATTTAAAAAAAATCCTGCCTTGGGTATGCTTTCTTAAGCAGAAACAGGGAACAACAGAGACAGCAGGGGACTACAGATCAGACAGGACAACAAACCCTAATCAAGTAACGAGTTCTACCATGGGAGGGTTCAGCTCAAACAACAATACTGTGTTTAAATGGCTCAAATGGCCCCGTAACAAAGAATGTCCATCAAATCAAACTGATCTGAAGGTGTTTTGCAAACATTAATGCCCAAAATACCCTATGTTTACCAAAGTAAAAATGGTCTTATTAGTAAAAAAAAAAAAAATAAAGAATCAAATTTGCGCATAATTTTCTCTACTCCTTGTAATTATGGCCTTCAAAACAAAATCCAAGACATCTACTTTGAATGATATATGGCTGCAATATGCTGACAAATTGTGAAATAGTTCAAGATGCATACTCACTTTTAAAAGCCACTGTATAACTTCTCATGTTTTGTTTTTTATTTCCCCCTGTTTTCCTTTTAACAGTTCTTAAGACTCTACGAGTCCACCCCATGGAGTTCTTACTACGTATGCTCAGGGATTACTGCCTTCAGGTGAGATGTGTCATGAGAAAAACCATACCAGAGCATATAGAAAGAATCAAGGGGGAGAATGCATCCTCAGACATGACTTTATTTAGAACAACCCACCAGCTTCTTTTTTGTGTAACAGTGAAGGAGAGGAGGGGCTCAGTGTGTTTTACTGGAGCAAATTCTCAGCCCCCCACAATGTGGCCCTGGAAATCCAGAAATCCAGCCCAGAGAGGCTAAAGCGCAGGCTACCTGGGACCAACAAGGTGCTGCGGTATAGCCAGAACGAGCAGCGCTACTTCATGGAGCAAGAAGATGACATTCTCCACCTGCTGGGTACAGTTTCTTGCTAAATTTTGAAACAAAAATGTGGATCACAAGTTTTTATGCCCGTATTTGTTTATCTTTGCAGACTTGGACTCTGATGACTCTGAGTCAGGCGACAGAAATGACAAAATGAAAAACCCAAATAGTATTCAGGGTGGAAAATGGCAGCTTGGGTTTCAAGGTGAGAAATGTAGATTTCTAGTGGAGGCAGTAGATCAAGTCATCTTTGCATCCTTTGAGTTTGTTTTCTTGGTAATAAAAAAACTGATTGATACATGTGTCTTAAGGCCGATTCCGGTATCAATTATTTTGACATCTAACCAACAAATCCCTGACATGTGCAGGCAATTTTAAGAGGGCTAATTCTTTAAGATAATATTGTTCCCGCCTCCTGCATTTAGAATATAATGGAACAATGATTGAATGAATGAATGAATGAAGTCTCATTCATCCATCTATTTTTTCTATCACGCTTGTCCCAAGCAGGGTTAGGAGGGGTGCTGGTGCCCATCTCCAGCTGTCTACGGGCGAGAGGCGGGGTACACCCTGGACAGGTCGCCAGACCATCGCATTACAAAAGTCTCAGTGCAAGCGAAAAATAGACATTCATGAACAAATTAAAGGAAACCTTACCAATGGATACCAGATGGGACTAGCAGCAATGCATGTGTTTCATGTGACCTCAAATAATTGCTGCTGAATGCTTTGAATAGCAAACACATGCATGTATCACGGACAACGATACAAAAATAAAATTGCTTATATCAGCTAAAAAAAAAGTGTGACTGATGTTGGTTTATCTCTACTTAGACATCAGACACTCAAAAGTTGGAGAAACAGTATAAAGCCTTTTAGAGAGCACTTCCATTTCCGTCATTTTTCCAGCTTACCTTCAGTCCACCATTTCCTCTGATTAAGCTCATATTTCTGTCACTTTCCAGCAATATCTTTTGATCTTTACGCCAAGTATGGAAACAACCGCACCCTGAGTCTTGTGAGTCCCAAGAAGCCATACTACCAGTGGCGTCTGCGCGTGCCATCAGGTCATGTTGTTCGACTGGTTGTCCTCACTCTTCAGGGCGCCACGCCTGGAAGCTGCGCAGCCCACAAGCTCTCTGCATATGACTTTCTGTTGCCTTTGCAGAACAAGATAATTGCCAGGTTAACCAAGAAATACCGGTCACCAGAATAACTGATCATACTACATTTTCCTTGAGCCTGCGGCAGTTAAATATTCGGCTACATGTGGCTGTTTCAGATGGTGTGGGCTGCCGGTTTCAGGCTCATCTCCGGTCATGAAGCTGACCTCTTCCGGTAATGTGATGTTGGTGACCTTCTCCTTCAACAGACAGAAAGATGGAGCAATCTTTAAAGCGTACTTCCAAGCCATCCCTAAAGCAGGTTTGGGGGCCTTTTTCTGAAAAAGAAAAAATTTTAATCACGCAATCTGTTTCCACTAATGTTTCAGGGCTGCTATAATTGACTGACTGACTGTGCTGCTGTGTATTTCCTTATGCTTATGTTGCCCCCTGCAGGCTGTGGAGGTTCAATTTCCTCTTGGAATGGATCAATCTCATCACCTTACTACCCTTCCTTTTATCCTCCTAACATTGACTGCACCTGGACTTTACGGGTGAGCTGTACAGGACTGATTATGTGTTACAGTGTGTTTTTTATAAATGGTTTTAAAGAGGAATTGTGCAGCTCATTCACATTCCACCCTCTAAAGTGTTATGTTTGGAATTTTTTGGTTTACTTTTTCAGGTCCCTGTGCCAGGATATCTAATTTCAGTGACAATCGTAACTTTAGACATTCAAGATTCACCATCGTCAGATGGTTGTGAAAAGGACTGGCTGGATATTGCAGGGACAAAGTGAGTTGTGAGACTTGAACACTTAGTTGACATTCGTTTATTTAAAGTTTCTTCACATTCTGTCACAAGACAAACCCATAATTCAGCAGATTTGATGTAAAGCTGTTGAATAAAATGACAGTGCTTTTCTGTGATTTGCATTTTTTTCCCAATGCAAGTATTCTATTGCAACCTGTTTACCGCAGAAGTCACCTGATAAAGTCGGTCTGTGTAGAATTGAATCCCAGTAAATACACAGCTGCCTCCTGATGGCTTCAGACGTTCTATGTAAAGCAATAGGGAATAAACAATTTAATAAAACCAGGAAACTAAACACGGAGCACTGTTCAATCCATTATTTGCAGAAACCTAATATAAATGGCAAACTTACCAGGATGACTCAATAAACCTAAACTGACGAGTCAAGCAAGGAAAATATAGTAAATGTATGTTCTTTGCAAAGCCCTTTACAGCAACCACTAGATGAAAGAAATGTTTTACAAACAGCAAAAATGAAATAAAAACACATAGAATTAAGTCATTAAAAAAAAGTAACAATAGAAAATTTGAAAGATAACTACAGTAGAAGATTAAGCCATAAAAAAAAATTGGTCACCTAATAAAACAAGAAATCCTATTGCTTTCTGATTTTAATCTCAAAGTTCTGACTTTAATCTCAGAATTAATCTCAGAACTTTACTTAATTCATAATCCTGTGCTTTGGTGATAGAGTCCAAAGTAAGTTGACTTTAAAAGACACAATTCTGAGAATAAAATCAGAATTCAATAGCCTTTTTTACATTTTTGTAAATAACACAAACATTAACCTCCACAACGCTGACCTTATTAAAAGACCAGCCAAATGAAGTATTTTTATTTACACCACACCATATAGTAGACATGGATGTGCATTACATTTTTTATACGGTAGTTGTTTACAAAATAAAAATCTTTCTTACACTTCTATGAAGATCTATAAGTTTTATTGATCTCTGTAGTTGTGATGTGATAAAATGTGGAAAAAAGGGTAGAAGGGTTTTGCAAAGCACAGTAACTCACTTCACTTGGTTTTTTGTTTTTGTGCATTCTGAAAGTCTTCCCTTTCGCATGCAGACTGTGTAATCCCCTGCCAGAGAGCAGCAGAAAGAGAGTGTATTCCTCTCCTCTCTCTATCCACTTCCACTCTGATGAATCCCTCACTCATAAGGGATTCTACTTGCTGTACCGAGCCTTCGCTCCAGAGGGGGGTAAGTTAGTTGGATATTTTCCCTCCTAAATGAATATCTGCAAAATAAAGGAACACATTTGTTTGCATTTGATCAAAAACATAAGAGATTAGAGCAGATTAGTTTTGGCAAGAATTATCACATTGTTCTTAAGAACAAAGTTTATTTTAATCTTTAAGGAGTTCATTAAAGTTAAAAGAAAGTTCAACTTGCTGTATTTTCAAGCTTGTCCTCGTCAGTTTCGATGTGGAGATGGTAGCTGTATCCCTCTGAGGAAGGTGTGTGATGGGGTGAAGGATTGTTCAGATGGACGCGATGAAACAAAATGCCGTAAGTTATGCACAACACTATCAACCAGAAACGGCTCATGTTTTATTGAAGAATAAGACACTAGTTTGCAGGACTGAATGCGCTTATGTGTGCATCAAACGTTTTAGCCTCACTGCATTAAAACTACTAGTGCATAGTGAGACAACTGTTTTTGCCCTCAGTCCCAAAATATATATATATATATATATATATATATATATATATAACTTTGATAGGGATTAATTAAATCATGTAGCCAAAGTCTTGTTTTTTAGAGGTATTATTCTGGATGCTCAAAAACACCAAGGCTGATTCCAAATACAGAAAATTTTAGCTCCTACTTCCTGTTTCTATCTTCTATTCTTTTACCTTTTTGTTGCCAGCTGTGGTGAATCCAGGTGAGTCCCAAATGTGTCCCAATGCACAGTGCTCCTTGGGATTTTTATAGCGTGGGAAGTCTTATCAATCCAAATCGGGCTTTGAGCTTCTTAACAATAATATCTCAACCTGCCTAGTGTGTTTAAAAAATGCCTCTTATATGACATTTAAGAAATATTACCTTACGCATACAACTAAATAAAACCTAGAACATGAATCAGTGGCAAATCATAGACTGTAATGTATGTAAAAATATCAGAAATGTGTTTAAAAATCATATCACCAATATTGAATATGGTGAATATTAAATATGGCAATACATATCAATATTTAATGCTTGTCCACCCTTACACAGATTCAAATGTTTATTCATTTCCACTGCTGCAGACAAACTAAAGACTCTGACTGTCAAAATGGTGACCAGCTTCTCTTATTTCAATTAACACCTATGATCTCTCCAGATCCAATCACAACAGTGGTAATTTTTAATGAATATTTGAGATACTTGTAGATCATATTCCTGGACATAACTACGGAAAAAACTTCTCCAGAACATTTGTTTTGTTAGTATTAGAGTGTGACTATCTATTGTGCCATCATTAGCAAAAACAAAATCAAGGAAAGATAAAGAAAATGAGAAAATTTGTGTTCAAGCCTTATTAAAGATAAATTATCTACAGTTACTGTATGCTGAGTGCTTAGGTTGAAGATGCAATGTGGAATTGAATTTTATATACTTGTGCACATTCATGCATACATAGACTAATTAGTATGACCTGCTGAAATCTGATCTGTCTGACTTTACTTTCTGCACCTCATTGCAAAACCATTAGCATCCTGCAAGCCTGGTGAAGCTCCCTGTGGGGATGGTCAGTGCAGACCTCAGAGCAGCCAGTGTGCTGGTCAGAGCAGCTGTGCAGACAGCAGTGAGGAAGGCAGCTGTGGTGAGTAGGCACAGTGATCGGCATCACCGTGAGTAAGAATTTGTTGTTTTTATTTGACCTGTTATCATGTCTTTGCTTTATAGGAGTTAAATGCTACCACGTTTGTCCAAACAAGGTGTGTTTACCAAAGTCATCTGTGTGCGATGGTGTGATTGACTGCAAGGACCGCAGCGATGAACTGAATTGCACCAGGGCATGTGAGTATTTATGTCAATGCTCTTGGTATTTACTATATGTAAAAAAGAAATAAACTATTAAAAAAATGGATGCTCTTTGTGAATGTTTTCCATCATTCTCATCAGATCTAAAGAGTTGCTCCTTGTCTTCCTTCAAATGTGCCAATGGAAAGTGTGTCAATAAGGTGAACCCTGAGTGTGACGGAGTGAAAGACTGCTTTGATGGCTCTGATGAACTGCGCTGTGGTAGATCTCAAGCTTTTCTACCAGGTTTCTGTTTTGTAAATGTCAAAATGAAGTTCATATTCTGTTATTGTTTTTCTGGCTCATAGGATGCGGCACCAGGCCCAGAAAACGGACCAAGATAGTCGGGGGATCTGATGCTGTGGTAGGGTCATGGCCCTGGCAGGTCAGCCTACAGATGGAGCGCTATGGCCACGTCTGTGGAGCCACGCTGGTTTCTAACCGCTGGCTCGTCTCTGCTGCTCACTGCTTCCAAGACTCAGATGCCATCAAGTGAGAAAAGAAAACCCTCCCCTTTGTGCTTCACGCCTGCCTTCTACATTCATGGTCATTATGTCTGCAGATACTCCGATGCTCGTGCCTGGCGGGCTTACCTGGGCATGCGTGTGATGACCAGGGGAAACCACGGAGCAGCAACCAGACTAATCCGTCGGATCCTCCTCCACCCCAAGTATGACCAGTTCACATCTGACTACGACATCGCCCTTCTTGAGCTCAGCGCACCAGTTTTCTTTAATGACTTAGTGCAGCCTGTGTGTGTTCCTGCCTCCTCGCACACTTTCACCACTGGCACCAGCTGCTTTGTCACAGGATGGGGCGTTCTTGCTGAGGACGGTGAGATGTGCTCAACATTTAACCCTTTTGTTAGTGCCATAAGAGCATAATGATCATCATGTTTTTGTTTTATTTACAGGTGAACTGGCGCCTCGTTTGCAAGAAGCTTCTGTGAAGATTATTAATAGGAAAGTCTGTAACAAGCTGTATGATGATGCTGTCACTCCCAGGATGCTGTGTGCGGGAAAACTGCAGGGAGGCGTGGATGCATGCCAGGTCAGTGTTCTGGTAAATATGATGAAAAAAAGATCTGAGAAAACATCCTTGTCATATAGAAATGATATATCTTTAGCATGTTCTTTTACATGGTTGTCCTTGTTTTCTGAAATTTTGTGCATTGTGTCTTTGAGAAAATTCCCAACAAACATGAGGTTGCTTATAGATTTGATAAGGCATAACATGATAAAATCACTGGAATTAATTATTTTAGATCTAAGAAACATTTTCTAACAAGAATGGGATTTTCAAATACTAAATGAATGGTATAGAGGAAGATCTTTTATTTCCGGGTGGATCATAAAAATAGGTGGTCCTCCTAATTGTCAATTATTCTGGTGATATGTTTAGGTAAGGCCGTCCTACGTTCTCGTCCTCATTTTAACTTACCGGTGGTGAGTCTGACTTAATGGAAAAATTGCAAATCTTCTTTTGGAAAGTAAACTTGTATGACAATGCAAACAGCAACTTTTAAACAGAGTGTGCATTAGGAGAAATGGGCTCATGCATGCTCTCGCACGCACTTAATAGGCGTTCCCTCTCGGGAGCGGGTACAGGGTTGTGCATGTGTTGGGCAGGTATTTTAAATCCTCCATTGTACCTTCAAATGATGATCACAGTATGCCCATATGATAATCAAGTCATAAATTCAACGGACTCTGTCTTAGAAAGTGATTTAACGTTTTACTTAATTTTTCACACATTGCTAATATGGTTTTCCTCTTTGAGGAGTTTCCAGTTTTGAAGCAATATATTTCCTTGAGTAAATGGAATTAAACATTGAGTAATCTGGATCTTTTTTGTTTATATGTGGGGCTTTAACTATAAGTAGTGAAGAGAACATAAATGGTTCTAATAGAAATAATACCAACATTACAGTGCATTTTAAGCTTAGCAGAGGTCAATTGTCCCGAGCTCTTATGTATAGTGATCAAACTTGATGTTGAATCTATTGTTACAGGTACAGGAGCACACCCTTAGATACCATGAAAGTTTAAGGTGCTCATGACATACCAAACCTGGTAAGGGTCCTCATACCGTGTGGCATAAATGACAGAACCCATTGACAGCGGCAATTACCATCTGGACCAATGTGTTTGTCACATTACTTCATCTCATTTTACCCAACCCCATGTCTTTACATCTGGTAGGTTAAGTATAGCTGTCAAGCATGTGCCACAATCAAACAGAGAAGATACATTTATTGTATACCTGTATGGATACACTGACCACATGTCCACAGATGTGTCTAACTGGGTGGCAGCATCCTTTTAAGGCCACATTTTTAGGCTTCTAACATCACAACAGGGCAACAAAGGCTGTCCAAATCCAAAGGCTCCTGAAAATGCACAGGAAAATTCACCCTTCTTCACACCAGATTTTAAGGACTGAACCACCATGTCCTTTGTGGTCCACACTACCCCATGATTCATTGCAGGTCAAAACAGATTGTTCAAGCAGAAGTTACAGTGGCGGATGAGCAAAGACTGATTAAAGTTTAAACCTTTTAAGCAATTCTTGAAAGGTGAGAATGTTTTTTTAAACTCAGATATCTACCAGGTTTGTTAACATTGCTTAATTGCAAAAATACCCCAGCACATTGTGACATGTCAGCTCCTGCTTCCCTAACGGCCAGCTCCCCTCACCAGCTCCGAGCTGATTGGGCGGTCCAGGCTCTTTATTCCCTGAGAATTGCCCACCTACCTGTTAAATGATTTTCTAAATTCCACTGGTTTTCACCATTAAGAGCAAGTTAATAACAGATGTAATTCAGCCACAAGATATCTAACAGTTAATACTGGTTTATTGCAGCATTTTATTTGTTACTCAATAAATTGGTTTGGCTGGTTAAAGTTATGCTCAATAACAGAACATAACTTTTTTTTAAGTACAATCGTTTCCACTGTAATGGCTTCTTAACAGGAATATGCAGAGCTTAATGGCAAACTGATTGGAGAACTCAGCCTTTTGATTATTTTGTGTTGGACACTAAATTGATCCAAAAGTTGCAGGATTGTAGATCTTGAGGAATGGACTTAGGCATATCTGGTGTAGTGAACCAGTTCTGAAGTGATGGTTTAAGGAGCAGAGATTTCAAGTTGCATTTTTTTACAAATTGAAGGACATCTCCACAGGGCCAGTGATGTCAGCAGTTGCACACCAGTGAGATTAGCTTGGATCCAAAGTTAGACCTAGTACTCAGGTTTGAAGAGTGGGAGGCAGACGTAAGCAGACAGCAGTGGGACTGGTTACATATTAATCTCAGAGGGGCTGATGTACCAGGCAGAAAGTGTACTGGAAATGGACTTTACTGGAATGTCTCAGGAGGAAAGCCAAACCTTTTCACCAGGGGTTAGGTTGAGGGGCAATGACAGAATAATGCTTGTTGTTCTTACAACCTGAATGGTATTAAATGGACAGACTGACTGCTTTCATGTTTGTGGGATCTGCATGTCCCAATCTGCCATCTAAGATATATCCCAGGTAATCGACTGATTGATGCTTAACATAGTTCTGGAGGATGAACTGGACAACAAGGCAGACAGGTCAATTGTGATCTGTGAGATTATTTGAGAAGATAAATATGTAATGGGGGTAAACAAATAGGAAAACCTGGTTTACATCAATAATAAGAGCTTGAAAACTTCAAAAGATTCTTATGGTGGGTTTAGACGATGAAAACACATCTAAACATATTTCCTTCTTGCCGGAGATGACAAGGCTTTGGGTCTTGATGAGATAAGTGTTGCAGGGGATTGGTCTGCCATCAATGGCTGTAGCTTGGAGAGGTCTTAGCGACGAAGCACTGCTCACAACCAGAAGTGATCAGGATTGTCAGCTGGATGGTGTCATTCAGTCACAGATAAACTTGGTAAAGCAGAAACAGTTACTACGGACATACGAGGAGGACATAACAGGCTCAGGGATTGGCTTGATCTTTACCATTACTGGTTAACACCTAGGCAAAGAGTGATTGGGAACAAGCTCCTCTTAGGCCTAGTCCTCATGAATTGTGTATTTTCATAATGGCTTAGAAAAAAAGTCTTTACAGCATTGATGCCGGGCCCTTTAGTGGCGATGTGACACTTCCCCAGAATCAAACCCCAACCATTGACAAAAACACTGGGCATCCTCAGACAGCTTATGCAGGGTAAACACAGTAGCATGGCAGTGACAAGGTGCATCGGGGCTACAGAGGAAGGATGAGCTACAACATCATCGTTTAAAAAAAGATGCAGCTCGCATCTCCACAGGGAAACTTAAAAATGGCCTTCCCTGGTTTTAAACTCTAGGACCCAATTTCAAAATTGATCAATTAGGCTCTCCAAAATCGCCTACTCTGTTTAGATTCACAGCTTGAACAGCAAACTAGATTTACTATTACAGATAATCTTGTTTGTGTGGATAGGGCATTTTACAGCTCTGATTGGTGGGTATTGTGCTGCACCTGTGAGAGGACCACGCCTACAGATAATGAACTCCAGCCAGTAGGAGTGTCCAGAATGACCTCAAGCGGACAGTCCTGGATCCTGCTCCATCCTGGCTGTATAAAGACCCAATGAAGTGGCAACACCCTAATGTTATGGAAAGAAACATATTTGAGCAGATATCGTAATGCAATCAATAATTTGCTTCTTTTTTTTTTTTTTTTTTTTTTTTTTTTTACATATTTGAGACAGGATATAAAGCATCTGAACCTCAAGTAAAACAATTCCTGTAGCTGCTGCTTGCTTGTACTAACAGTTGGTTTAAATTGAGTTAACTGTATACTCTTTTCTTTGAGCCCAATCATGCATGTTCTGAAATACTTAGATGTATACTAAATGTGATCAGCTTTACGGTGCTGTTTGTTTCCTCAGGGGGATTCAGGAGGTCCGCTGGTGTGCTTAGAGCGAGGGAGACGGTGGTTCTTGGCAGGGATTGTTAGCTGGGGCGAAGGCTGTGCAAGGCAGAATCGTCCAGGGGTCTACACCCAGGTGATCAAGTTCACTGATTGGATCCGCCAGCAGACCAAAGGGCAGGTCTGACAAAACATGAAACTCAAAGGACTAAAGATCTTCAACAGGACATTGGTTTCAGAATTGAAGCCACACATTTATTTTTTTTGTCACCATCTTGGAATTTGACCGAACTAGAGGAGGCAACACTCTGCCGCAGACTAATTGGAGTCTTCGCAATCTGTAGGATACAGCATGTTAACGTTCCCAAAAAGATCTAAAAGAGATTTAATAAGTGACAATCAGATTGGTTAACTAGATTGAAAGATGGATTTAAAGCAGGATATGGTTCAAACAAATAAAAACATTAAAGTATCTTTTTGTTAAGCGGTTCTCTGGAGAGTCTAAAGTGCTCATTTTCCTACTTGCAGATACCTTTTTGAACTTAGGTTTGCAAAAACTTAAAAAACGCAAATAACAGTTATACATTTTTGTCATTTTAAAACAGCATTGATTTAAAAGACATTTGAAATACATTCCCAGTGCTTCATCTGATAGTTAATATTTATTAATTAGAATCAAAATAAATAATTAGATCATGCTTTGTTGTTGCATTTGACTTTTTTTTACCTTGTTTTTTTGTCTGTATTATTTCTAATTTACTCTTCAATATTTATAGATACTTTAAGCTTACAATAAGCTCTCCATATCTCATCTCACCTTTAGACTATGTAAATATACAATGTTGAAATTCATTAATGTGGTAAACAGTAAACCAACATTACTTTACTGCACAGTAGCCAAGGTTTATATATATATATATATATTACAGTTTTTCTATGAAGGTAATTTTGCCATATCAGTACGTAAGGTTTATCTTCTGGAACCATAAAATATTTTGAAATTGAAGCAAAACCCTAAAATAGTGCGATGCTTTTATATAGAAGATATTTATATCCCTGAGCTTCCTTCAATGCACCAATATCTGATTAGTGTATGTTTTGTTTTATGCTCATGGCAAGTTAAATAGAATCTGCTGAAAATAAATCATGATGGTAGATGTTTTCCTCTTAATACAATCTACAGTTTCTTGCAGGAGCTTTTCAAAGTATTCACGTCTTTACTCCTTATTCTGTTAAAATTTCAAAGGTTTTTTCTTTTGCTGCAGGAAGGGGGGAGGTTGTTTTTTGTTTTTCAAATTGCAGGCAATTTCTCTAACTGCAATAGGACTGACCTGAAACTATCCATGTTGATTAGTGTGGGACAGTTTAAACTAATTTTAAGAAAAATATCTTATGAAATATTCCTTTTATTTAGGTTATATTTTATGAGCTTATTTAATTGGTTTGAATGTTTTCATTGTTTGTGTTACTACTGTGTTTGTATTCTTTTTTAACAAAACATGTCTCTCTTGTAAATGATATAAGACCTCATTGAGACAAACTGTATAAATAAAGGTTAAATAAAAGAATGATAAATTTGAAAAAAGTTGTACCCAGACATTAGTATTCACTTATCTTTGTACTGTAAAATGAATGTATAGTATAATAGTGATTTAACTGTTATTTTCTGCATTGTGCATTCGGGTATATGATGTTTACCTGAGCCATAGCTTCATGTTAAATATACTTTTTAGTTAATGCATTGTTCTTACTTATTTAAAAGCTTATTTGAGAGAAACAGAGCAAGAAGCATTGCTATAATAACCAATGCTTTGGAGCTGATTGCTAATTCAACAAACCTGGCTGCTAGTACATGTAAATACATATGTATGAATCATGAAAAATAATACCAGCACAAATAATAACAATAAAACATAATCAATGTTTGCAGACTATTAAATTCCAGACATTGTTTGAGTTTGCCATCAAATTTTTTCACATCTGGAAGAGATTTCAGTTCAACAGGTACTGTATGGTATTTCAGATCTGTGGTCCTCTAACAGCGAACATGCTCTGTCCAAAACACGTTCTGCATCATGATGATCAGTTTCCATTTACTTTTCCCCTTGTTATTGAACCAGGATTGGGACATTTCTGGACTATACTGTATATTTAACACTTCAGGGACAAGACTGTTTATATATTTAAAAATTAGTGTCAAGTTTTGATTGTGGTTTAGAGCACCCAAATGCAGAGGCAGAGAAGCTGAGGTGATTTCTTATAGTTTTAATGATGAAAGCAGTTAACAAAGGCAGGAATCATACTAAAAAATTAACACAGACCAGAACCATGGAGACATCAGGGGGAAACACGCACAAGGAGCCAGGGAGAGACGAGGTGAGATGTGAGCAGAGAACAGAGATGACAGGACCAGCAACAATAAGGAACCAACAAGGAGTGACTGCAGAGGGAGAGTGTTGGTAGCTGACTGAGACAAAGGCAGGGCTAACGAGCTGACAAGGAGCAGGTGTGAGAGGAGACAACGAGGGAGCCAAGGGGAAAGGAACACAAACAAGAGGACAACAAATGAAAAACCACAGAAAACCCTGAGAACTAACATAAATCTAGAAACTACAACAAAATAGGAATTAAACCAATAAAACTAGGAAACACTCAGCAAAGTAAAGGACAAAACCATGACAATTAGTATGAAAAATTGTGCTATTTTTTACGCTGTTGCCATCTGATTGGCTTTTGTTCAGGCACTGTTTAGGCCTGTTTGTGAAGAGAATTCCAACCTTTTACTGTGGACTGGTTCTGAACCCAGGCAGTCATACTGGGACGCAATCATTGCATTAAAAGAACAACCTGGCTGCATTAATCAACAAGCAAGACCTTTATGAGATGGAAACAGTTCAAGTTAGTCCATATGGTCTGTCAAATTCACAAGTAGGGAAAGCAGAGAAAAAAAATGTTTTTTTCTTCATGTGCTTTGCATGTTTTCTGGTATTTCAGCCCATATCAATTGGTGACGGGTTTGCATTTGCATCTAGACAAATTAGAATCTCAAAAAACTTATTCAACAACCTAGTTCAGAAAGTTCATTACATGCACACTAATATATTCCATGCATTCATTTTTCTATTCCTATAACAATGGTTAATTGGTCATGAAAACCAAAAATTGAGCACTCATTAAAGGGGTTTTAGTTTAAGCATATTATGACCAACCAATAATGTCCAGCTCTTTCACTTTGGCTTTGTCACAGTGAGCTGTATCTAAACACAATGACAGAAAGTTAAGTGGAAGGAAAAAATATGGTAGATAGTGGTTAAACAACAACGTAGCAATCACAGTATTTGTGAATCAACGTTGAATCAAGAAAGGTCTTCGGAGCAACCACCACACACAGACATATCCAGGACACAGGTTAAAACTGCCATGTGCCTTGCATTACACCATTACAACAATGGTCTGAAACTCCAATCCTCAAAGGTTGGTGCTCTGCATCTTATAGAGTGTCTCTGCAAAAACACATTTCTGACTCTAACATGAGCTCTTTAGCAGAGCACTGAAGAGCTGGGCTGCTGCAAGTCAGATAGTTTAACCATTTGATTCAGTTGTATAGGACAGGGATCACATCTAGAAGTTGCAGGGCATGTGAGAGCATGACTTTGAGGCTGCTGCTTTAGAAGAGGATAAAAGCAAAATGAATATCTATTGCAGGGTTTATGGTTGCACTGTTGCCTTGCAGCAAGAAGGCCGTAAATTTGATTCCTGGCCTTGGGTGTTTTTGCATGTTCTCCTGTTGTCACACTGTCCTTGTTGGGACCTTCCATTGACTTCTATTCCTTTCCCACTAATTTCTATGACCTAACCTTGATCCCCGCCCTAAACTTGACCATTACCAACACATACCTAACCCTAAACCTAACCTAAACTCAATTCACACCTTAGTTCTAAACCTTAACTCCCAACCTAAGAACAGTACTTCTCCTCATGTGCACCACTCATTGCTAGGGGTGTAAATCACATCCATCATGGTGATTCGATTCAGTATCGATTTCCTGGCCCAACGATTCGATTATTTTCGATACTCAAGAATACATCACGATTCGATTCGATGAATTGGTTCATTTTTTTTTTTTTTTTTTTTTTTTTTTTTTTTTTTTTTTTTTTTTTTT